GTCATACTAGCCTACATAAACCAGGCAGCACCAGATATTAGAAAAAAGTTGCAGTCATTAGACAGACTAGAAGAAAGAAACCTCAGGGAGCTAGTAGCGGTGGCAGAAAAGGTATATCACAAGAGAGAGACAGAGGAGCAGAAGAAAGAAAGGAAAGAGAAACAAAGACAACAAAGAGAGGATAGACGAGATATGAGGCAGGAAAGGAATCTAACTAAACTATTAGAACAACAGCAGGCACAATTGGAGAGAGTCCTGTTGGCAACTGAGACAGGAATTCTCCGAGGAGCCGGAACGCCCCGACCCAAGCCAAAACCCAAGGTAGAGAGAAACCAATGTGCGTATTGCAGGGAAGAAGGACACTGGGTCAGGAATTGCCCCAAGAAGAAAAAGGTACCCCATGTCTGAAACCTAGCAACCACTCTGGAAGAAGAAAGTGACTAGGGGGGACGGGGCTCAGCACCCCTCCCTGAGCCCAGGGTAATCTTTTTTTTTTATTAGGTTAATACATAACAGAGCTTTGTGTTTTTAGTGCAGGATTAGTATTCAGAGAGTCAGAAAGAAAGGTCAGAAGAAATGATCAAATTTCTATCAAAATCTATAACACTTCAATTTTCAGGTTATTAAGTGACACTGTGTTTGTAAATACAAGACGATTCAAATAACATCTTTATTATACATTATGATAATAACAAATATTATCTTTTAATGTTCCATTCAGACAATTCCCAGGTTGTTTTCCTATCTATCTATCTATCTATCTATCTATCTATCTATCTATCTATCATCTATCTATGTGGTGATATTGTGTCCCCCAATATATTGTGCACCCTAATAACCTTATCTGGGGTCAGAGAACAGACAGACACTAGATAGACTTTTAGGCTTTTAGCAGCAGTTCAGCTAAGATCCATTTGGGTGAGGACACAGTGGCTTCAGGTCTGAGGACACAATAGCAGCAGAGAAGTCGGCGAAGCAAGTTGGCTGTGGCTTGCTCTGATTCTCTGATCTTTCAGCATTCACCCCAATATCAAGCACCAGATTTTTTATTAATAATTTAAGATTCATGATATATATATATATATATATATATATATATATATTAGATATTAACTCTTTGTTTTGAAACAAAAGAGGGTGCTATCATCTCCCATTGACCCATTTACTCCTACTCTCAATTTTCCCTTGATCACAGAGACTGTTATCAACATCAGAACTCTACACAACTGACAGGTGAGTCTGAACCAGAGGCAACAGGATAGCATTTAACACAACACTGTCCTCTCCACTGCATGGCAAACTGGCTCAAAAGTTTTTGTAGTGTTCAAAGTACATAAAAACATTTTTTAAATGACTGTTACAAAAAAATGCAAACCAATTCTATCAATTGGTGCCGGGTCCTGGGCTCGTTGCATGAGTTGGCTGTTTGAATCGTGGGACCTATGCAGGGACGCTTGGCCAGGGTAATCTTAAAGGTGGAAGGGAAGCCAATCCAATTTATGGTAGACACAGGAGCTGAGAGTTTGGTCCTCCTGGCCCCTGCTGACCCCTGTCCTCAAAATGAACCTGGGTACAGGGAGCCACAGGAACTAAGTCGTATTCATGGACTACTCAAAGAACTGTGGACTTAGGCATGGGGAAAGTAACCCATTCCTTCCTAGTGATACCAGAATGCCCATATCCCTTGCTTGGGAGAGATCTCCTGTCTAAAATGAGAGCTCAAATTCATTTCTCAGACGAGGGAGCTTGGCTAATGGACCAAAAACGGAGGCCGATACAAGTACTCCTGACAACTGACCTAGTCGAGGAATACAGGCTCCACCTAGAACCTGAGGCTCCCGGGCAAGAAATTCAGGCTTGGCTCCAAAAATTTCCCCTAGCTTGGGCAGAAACTGGGGGAATGGGACTAGCGAAGCATAGGCCTCTGGTCTATGTAGAGATCAAATCAGATGCTGATCCAGTCAAAGTCCGCCAGTACCCCATGTCCCTAGAAGCAAAGAAGGGAATAACACCTCATATAAGGAGGCTTCTGAGTTTGGGAGTCCTGCGACCAATTCAGTCCGCATGGAACACTCCTTTGTTGCCAGTCAAGAAACCCCACACAGGGGACTACAGGTCAGTCCAGGACTTAAGGGAAGTGAACAAGAGAGTGGTGGATATTCACCCCACTGTGCCTAACCCATATACCCTGCTGAGCTCACTACCTCCAGACCGGCAGTGGTACTCTGTTCTGGACTTGAAGGATGCCTTTTTCAGCCTCCCTTTAGCCCTCAAGAGCCAACCGCATTTTGCCTTTGAGTGGCACGACCCTGAGATCGGGATCGGCGGGCAGCTGACATGGACTAGACTCCCTCAAGGGTTCAAAAATTCTCCAACCATATTTGATGAGGCTCTTCGTGAAGATCTGGGTGAGTATCGCACCCAAAATCCAGACATCAGCTTGTTACAATATGTAGATGACTTGTTGATTGCTGGGAAGGACAAGAAACTGAACATTTACACTGACAGCAGGTATGCATTTGCCACTGCACATATCCATGGGGCTATATACTTGGAGAGGGGGCTGTTAACTGCAGAGGGAAAGACTATTAAAAATAAACAAGAAATCCTAGAGCTACTAAAGGCCCTCTGGGCCCCCAAGAAACTAGCAATCATGCACTGCCCGGGGCACCAGAAAGGAGAAGGGCCAATTCAACAAGGAAACAATTTGGCTGACCAGACAGCCAGACAGGTGGCCATGATGGCCACAATAGCTCCTATGCTTGTGGACCCTGGGGCCCATGACCTTCCCCCTTTACCCCAGTACACGGATAAAGACGAGGCATGGGCGAGATCTCTACCCATGACGCACCTGGTAGAGGGATGGGGGCAGATAGCTGACGATAAGATCATTCTGCCTCAAGAACTGGGACGAACAATGCTCCGAAAAAATACATTGGGCATCCCACCTGGGAATCAGGAAAATGCAAGATCTCCTCAGACACTCTGCAGTGAAAATTAAAGAGGGAAACCAGATTATAGAGGACATTGTGGCTAGTTGTCATGCTTGCCGCCTGACTAACACCAATCCACACCCTGCAAACTCAGGGAGTCGCCTCCGGGGCACCCGGCCAGGTACGTACTGGGAAGTGGACTTCACTGAAATCAAGACAGGAAAGTTTGGCTATAAATATCTATTAGTCTTTATAGACACCTTTCCAGAATGGACTGAAGCATACCCCACTAAATACGAAACTGCAAATGTGGTGGCTAAGAAGATACTGGAAGAAATTCTACCCAGGTTTGGCTTTCCAGTTATGATAGGATCAGATAATGGTCCAGCCTTCATTTCCCAGGTAAGTCAGGGAGTAGCCAACGCATTGGGGACAGATTGGAAATTACACTGTGCTTATAGACCCCAAAGCTCAGGGCAAGCAGAAAGGATGAACAGGACACTAAAAGAGACCCTAACTAAATTGGCCTTGGAGACTGGGGGTGACTGGGTGACCCTTCTTCCCTTTGCCCTTTTTTGGGTTCGGAATTCCCCTTACCAACTGGGATTAACACCCTTTGAAATCATGTATGAGTACCCACCTCCCATTATACCTAGTCTTCACACTGTTTTAGTGACACAGTTGGAGGACCAGGACCTCCTGGATGCACTTCGCGGACTCCGCCAGGCCCATAAAGAAATATGGCCCAAGCTCCAGGCTATTTACCAGGCCGCTTCTCCTCCTACTCCCCACAGGTTCAGACCGGGAGACTGGGTCCTGATCCAAAGGCACCAGCGCAAGTCACTGGAGCCCAGGTGGAAAGGACCTTACATGGTGATCCTGACCACCCCGACATCCCTGAAGGTGGACGGAGTCGCAGCCTGGGTCCATTACTCACATGCGCGATTTGTTGACCCCTTCGCGCTTCCTGAGGAGTACCAAGGCAAGGCGTGGGAAGCTACTCAACATCCCTCTAATCCATTGAGGCTCAAGTTACGCCGCGCCAGGAAAAATGATCAGCCTCTACCTGATTCTCCTACTTCTGCCTGGTGCCACCACGGAGATCAGCCAACCTGATAATCCCCATACACCTTGGAACCAAACCTGTATCATCATCTCTGGATGGTCCAACCCTAACAGGATAATTAGCAGAATCTATTCTGTGGCCCCACAAGACACCTGGTTCCCCGATCTATATGCAGACCATTGTGATCTAGGGGGGCGGATGTGGGGACCTTCTGGAAACGAACCTGACATTCTCCCAAACGGCAAGGAGCTCTCAGCATTCGCTGTAGGATGTGACACACCTGGAGGATGCGCCAAAGCAAGGCAACTGCAATTTTATGTTTGTCCTGGCCACTCTATGACCAAAGAACGGCATCAGAAATGCAGAGGAGAAAACTACGCTTTCTGTGGCAGTTGGGGATGTGAGTCAACTGGATCAATAAGCTGGGACCCCCAAACAAAAGGAGACTTTATCACGGTACAGCGGGTAGGAGATATGTCCATTCCAGGGATTGGGTGGTGTGGAAATCAGCACTGTGGAAATTGCTATGATATAGAATGCTTTTCTGCTTATGCTGGGGCTAGACGTGGTGGGCACTGCAACCCCCTAATCATTCGGTTTACAGAGGCCGGTAAGCAGGCAGATTGGACCACTGGAAAGACATGGGGACTGCATTTACACCCAGGGTCAGGCCAACTAACTTTTACCATAAAGCGTACCCTCACACCAGTGGAAACAGTAGCAGTGGGACCCGACCGAGTACTTAACCCCACAGTAACACCAAGTCTAACCAAACCTGCCCTGATTTCTGCCAAAGGTCTAACTGTTGCACCTAAGAAACCTGCAGAACAGCTCCTCTCCCCTCCGATTCCATCGGACGAGAGTCCCCTGTACACCCTCCTTCAGAAACCTTTCTTGCTTTTGAATGCTTCCAAGCCTGAATTAACTGTTTCATGTTGGCTTTGTTACGATGCAAGACCCCCTTTTTACGAGGGCACTGCAGTAGAGGGCAATTATACAATGACTAGCAAACCACAGGAATGTCTATGGCAGGCTAAGGCCTCACTAACTATCCAGCAGGTACAGGGCCAAGGCGTCAGCGTAGGGACAGTGCCAACCAAGTACCAGGCCCATTGTAATAATACCCGACCCCTCCCTGACCAGGACGTTTACCTGCAGCCTCCTGATAAAATACTTGGTGGGCATGTTCCACGGGACTAACTCCCTGTGCACATGTTCAGGTCCTCAATAGAACTAAGGGCTTTTGTATAATGATCCGGCTTCTGCCACGGTTGATATACTATTCTGAGGAAGAGCTAGAAAGTCTTGCCGGACCAGTAAGCCTCCGCAGGTCAAAAAGAGAGCCCTTAACCGCCCTCACATTAAGCATACTGTTAGGGACCAGTATTGCTGGGCTAGGAACAGGGGCTGCCGCCTTGGTCCAACAACAACAACACTACTCTAGTTTACCTGAGTCTATAGATGAGGACATAGAAAAACTAGAATTTCAGATAACTCACCTCCAAGAGTCCCTGACCTCCCTAGCGGAAGTCGTCTTACAAAATAGGAGAGGACTAGACTTAATATTCTTAAAAGTAAAAGGACTATGTGCTGCTTTAGGTGAAGAATGTTGCTTCTATATAGACCACTCGGGAGTAATAGAGGACTCAGTAGCCAAGGTCCGAGAGGGTATAGCCCAACGAAAGAGGGAACGAGAGGCCAACCAGGGATGGTTTGAGGCCTGGTATTCTAAATCTCCCTGGTTCATTACCTTAATTTCCAGTATTCTTGGTCCCCTTATTCTTCTGATACTGCTGTTGATATTTGGGCCTTGTATTATAAACATGTTAGTACGGTTCATGAAACAAAGGTTGGGGACCATTCAACTCATGGTACAACGTGGCTATACACCTATTAGCCTCACTGAACCTTATAGAGCATCAGAGGAGTTAGGACAAGAATCTTATGAGCTAATCGAGGCCCAAGATTGAGCCTCCTTAGGACCATGAGAAGGGGGAAATGTGGGACCAAAATAAGACCAAAATGCTCTCACCCCAAAACTAAAGGCCTAAGACTGTAAAGGCCTAAGACTGCTCCTTTTAGCTATAGGCCATAAGTTACTGGAACAGGCCAGAAGTTACTGAGACCAGTCAGTTCAGATTCCAGAAACCAGGAAGTGTAAAAGTACAGAGTCACAAGATAGTCAGGAGGTAATGGCTGCCGGACTATGGAATGTCCTCTCCCTGGCCCCCTAGGCAACTGCTTGACCATAGAATGTCCCAACCCTAGTTTCCATAGTGACTGGGTAATCACCAGATGCCCCCATCTGGGGGCAGCCATTGAAAAATGGTGGTGGGCAACTACTTCCTTAGAAGGAAAACTGAATTGTGATTTCTGGAATTCCTAGACACAAGCCAATCAGAATTGTACCCGTACTAGCACCCCCTAAATGATGTAACCTTGTGATTTTTCCCTTTAAAAACTGAGCTTGCAGACAGGTGGGCACTTCCTCCAGCTTCCACTGCGTTGGATCTGTTGGACAAAGTCCCTGCCTAGGCTTGTATTGCATTTGGATATCCACGATTAAACCTTGCTTTTGCATTCCGGCTTGCTCGTCCTTGGTGGTCTCTTTGGGGGTCGCGATCTGGGCACAACACTTACAAACTGTATGGCTGTGGCAGGCTTCTTGCTAACTGTTCTTATAGCTTAAATTAATCCATTTCCATAAATCTATACCTTGCCACGTAGCTGGTGGCTTACCGGCGTCTTCACATGCTGCTGGTCATAGCGGTGGCTGGCAGTGTCTCTCTGCCTCAGCCTTCTGCTTCCCAGAATTCTCCTCTCTCCTTGTCCTACCTACTTCCTGCCTGGCCACTGGCCAATCAGTGTTTTATTTATTGACCAATCAGAGCAATTTGACATAGAGACCATCCCACAGCACCAGTCAATGACTGATCCAGCAGGAGACCTATGCCAAGAGAGTGTGCCCAAAACTGATACTGCCTGGAGTGCCAGGACACAGATGCTAGGTGGCCCAGAGACCTAGGATTAGAACCACACACAGCTGGAGAAAAACATATGTCAATTTAACGATGTTTAATCATATTCTGCTATGCTCATAGATTCCCATTCCAATTGTCATTAGAGAGGCTTCATCCAGCAACTGATGGCAAGAGATGCAGAGATCCACAGCAAAACATTAGGCTGAGCTCAGTGAAATGTGCTGAAGAGAAGGAGGAAGGAATGTAAGTGCCATAAGGATCAAGAATATCACAAGAAAATGCACAGAATTGACTAACCTGGGTTTATAGGAGCTCTCAGATATTGAAGCAACAACCAGGGAGCCTGTATGGGACTGACCTCATACCTCTCCATATATGTGACAGTTTTGTAGTTGGTCGTCTTGTGGGACTCCTAACAGTGGGAGCAGGGACTGTCTTTGATTCTTTTGCTGTAATTTGGAACCCTGTTTGTCATACTTGGTTGCCCTGCCAAGCCTTAATACAAGGGGAGGTGCTTATCCTTACTGCAACTTGATGTCAGGTTTTCATCGATTTAAATGGGAGGCCTATCCTTCCCTGGATAGAACAGAGGAGGAATGGATTGCAGTGCAGAGGGGAAGTGGGAGTAAGAGACAGGGAAGAGAGGAGGGAGTGGAAACAGTAGTCAAGAAATAAAATAATAAATAATATTTAAAAAAGAAAGAGTTTTTTAGAGTGTATGATTCCAATGCCATTAGAGCCCATGATGGTAGACAGAAGCATGACAAGAAGCAGCTTGCATGACTGCAGATGCAGAAAGCTTAAGGCTCATATCACTAGAAATATGGAGAGCCTTTTCAGTCTTAAAGGAAGACCACAGCATCATCATACCTTCAGCAAAGCGGTACCTCCTAGAATTCCTGAAAGAGTGTCACTAACCAAGAACCAAGTACCCAAATATATGAGCCTCTTGAAGACTTTCGTAGGCAAATAACCACAGATTATTTTTGTTGCTATGTTTTAAATGATAAACACATTTGAG